TGGTGCCTGCTGTGTGTCTGCCTCTGCCCTTGGGCAAGTGATGGCTTAAAAGGCAGGCACCTTCCAAGCGAGCTTTAGTTTTCCATTAACAAGAGGGACTATTTTAATTAATTAACTAATTAATTCATGTATTTATATTATTTATACTTAGTGGTTGTTGGGATGGATCCCCAGGCCACTTGCATGCTTGGCAAGTGCTCTACCACTGAGTTACATCATACCCCTCAGTGGCGATTTCTTGAGGGCCTTGTGTACGCCATGCATTGTGCTTGGGCTGGGGTGATGGAGTCGGCTGTCCTTGTTCACTTCTTGAGAAACTCTGAAGACTGAACATTGTGAAAGGCTTTGGAAACGTACACTGCTGCTGAGAAGGGAACCAGAGGGGCTTGGCATCTTGCACACCCCACCTCCCACCTGGAGTCCTCTGTAAGCCCAGCTGTTGACCCATCACCATCACTTCGTGCTTCTCTCTCTCTCTCTCTCTCTCTCTCTCTCTCTCTCTCCCAATTGAATTTGACTTGAGTTGGAATAGCCAGCTTCCTGGCTTCTCCCCATGTAGCCTGTTTCTGGGCCAGGGTTTGTTTGAGGCCCTGTTTGGATATTGTTAAAAGTGGGCAGCTTGGCTCAGAAAGGTCAGCGGGAGAGAAAAGAACAAAGAGATCTTTCAAGCTGGCTTCTCACAGGGCAGCCAGAAACGACTCAGAAAAGCCCCAGCTCCACCTGGCACAGGCAGCTGTAGGCCGGGCTAGGATTGCTCAGGCTGTGGCCATCTGGGGCACTTAAGAAACCGCATCAAGTCATTTCTCAGAGGGACAAGCTGGGGCGGGGGCATTCCCAGCATGGTAGAACCAGGCAGCGTAGACCTAGGACTCCCTCTGCATGGACTGTTTCTTTAAAAGCATTCAATAAAAATTGGGATTTACTCAAAACATGCCTGAGGGTGATGATTTACACTGCAGAAGAATTCCCGGGAGCTTGTTCAGATGCCAAAAATCTCTTATAGATTGGAAAATCATAAAAGGCACAACTTCGGGATACAGGATCTTGTTAGAATGTCATGCTGACTTCTTATTTCTGTGTGTACCGGGGTGGTCAGGGCCTGGGTATCAGAATTCCACTCCAGCCCCCAGGAGAGGCCAGTCTGCTGGTCTTGGAAATGATGCTGATGTACAGACTGAAGTCTGAGTTCACTGGCAGTGGCAGAGAGGACAGTCCCTGCTGTGGAAGGGGAAGAGGCCATAGGCACTCTTGGCTCCCGCCTCCTGGTAGCAGCCTGGGTCAGGCTGTCAGGGAGAAGGCTGGCAGGTCGCCCACAGAGTGGAAAATCACCCATGGCCCCAGGAGCAGCCTGCCTCCTCTGAGCCACAGGGCCCTGGGCAGCCCCAGGGGACCAGCCTGCCTCAGTGGGAGGACTCAACTCCTAGGGCAATTTGTCTCTTCTGTTTTCTGGGAAATCCTTTATCTGTCTTTAGCCTCGTTCCTAGTGATGGGCTTGACCCGTCTACCAGGCAATCCTGTTCTTCCTCCTGTGGGGTCAGGCTTGGTAGAAGACAGACATGAAGCTTAAGAACCCCTTCAGCCACTTCTGTCTTCCCCCTCTAGTCATCAGCTGTTCCGTGTAAAATAATGTAAGTTAAAATGTTAGTGATATAGATCCCAATTAGGAAAGAGGAAAATAATATTTAGCAACTTCTGCCATATTTCTGGTTGTGCTTGGGCTTTTTTGTCTGTCACTTTCCTGGCAGCTCTATGAAGAAATGAGGAATCCTACAGACGGGAGATAGGACTTACAGAGGCCACCTCATAGTCCCAAGCGAATAGCTGTAGGATCTGGCTGTAGAGTTGGCATATCCATGTCTGACTGACCCTTCTGAGACCTGGCTTCTTAGACCAGGAGAACACTGGGAGCCATCTGAGCCGATGGCTCTCAAACTTGACAGTCCACTGGAACTCCCTGGGGCTTTGACCAAACCTAGATTGCTGGCCCCACCTGAGTTTCCCTTTGCACAAATCTGGGGGGGGGGGGGCTCACAATTTGTACCTCCTTTTTCTAGAGTATTTAAAAAAGTATTTTATTTATTATTTTTATTTTTTATGTGTATGAGTATATTGCCTACATGTATGTAAGTGTACCAGTGTTTCATAGTGCCCAAGGAAGTCAGAAGAAGGCATCAGATTCCCCTGGAACTGGAGTTATGTGGATGTTGGGAACCTAACCCAGGGTCCTCTGTAAGAGCAGCCAGTGCTTTTAACAGCTGAGCCATCTCTTCAGCTCTTTTCTAGAATATTTTTATTAGTTCTTTGAGAATTTCATACAGTCCTACAGTGCTTTGGGTTTTGATTTTTTTTTTTTTTTTTTTTTGGTCTTTTTGAAACAGGGCCTCCCTGTAGTTCCAGCTGGCCTAGAACTCACCAGACACCAGACTGGCCTTGAACTCATAGAGATCCACCTCCCTCTGCCTCCCAAGTGCTGGGACTGTAGGTGTGTGCCACCATGCCCAGCTCTGTACAGTATATTTTGATCATATTAACCACCCCCCACTTTCCCTTACTTCCTCCCAGATCTACCCTGTACCTTCCTAACCCCTCCAAAACTTCATGTCTTCTTTTTTCCTTTAAAAAAAAGAGAAAGAACCCACCAAGTCCAGTTAGGGGTCCATATACTGGATATGGGGCTATCAACTGGTGTGTGGTCAATCTATAAGGGGCCACACCCTTAAAGAAAACTGTTTTTCCCCAGAAGCTATCAACTATCAATAGCTCCTCAGTTAGGAGGTGGGGACTCATGATCCCCACCCATTCCATACAAGAATGTTGATTGGCTTGATCTTGTGTAGATCTTGTGCTGGCAACCACAGTTACTTTGAGTTCATGAGTGGACCAGTCCTGTCATGTTCAGAAGACGTGTTCTGGTCCAGTCCTCCATGAACTCTGGCTCTTACAATCTTTCTGCTCCCTTCTGTAAGGGTCCCTGAGTCTTGGGGGGAAGAACTTGCATTTCTAACAAGTTCTTGGGGTACAGAAGTTCCTGGGATATTGATGCTGCGGTCCAGGGTCTGTACTGTGAGAACCATTGTTTCTGAGAGTATATACACAAGGTAAAAATACACAAGGTAGTTTTAAGTAACATATACACATGCTAATTTGTCAAAAATATTTGTGTGCTTAATATATTTTTCAGAACAAAAGAAAAAAACCCTAAACCAAAAAAGACCTAGCTCAACAAACCCATTATTTCAGGTATTTTATTAAGGTGGGATATCTACTAAGTAAAAAGAAGGATAAATAAACAAAAGTTTATTGCATAAATAATAATGCTAATGATATACAGCTAATGGTAAAAATTGTGAATATGGCATGCCAACAAGAAGCCTGGGAGACACTGAGCTAAACTTAAGTCCTCGTTTTGCGGATGAGACAGTGACCCACAAAGGTGAGCCTGTTTCCCTGTCACGGGACCAGAGTTAGCAGCACCTAGACTTGAGCTATCTCTCAGGAGGCTGAGTTCCCTGGCCTGTATCGTATCAGGTTCTTCAGAGCACTGGGCAGGTTAGGGAAGATTCAGACCCTGACCCTACTCCAGGCATCTTTGTCTGCATTCTCTGCCTTAAAAAGAAGGGTCTGTAATTATAGCATTGAGGATTTGGAGTTTTTTAGCTTCTAGAGCTTCCCTGAAGGCAAGGGACTTGATCTGCAATCTTACCCTTCAGAGAGTTGGGGAGGGGCCCCTGTTGCTTTCCTGGCTATTAGCTGCAGTTGGTTACCCTCTGTGATCTATTCTACGGTTGCTGGCCTGTCAGCCTCTGCTTCCCCTGTGATGTGGTCCAGGGAACAGTGAGTGGAACCATCCTTAGACATCTCCTGAGCACACACTTCATGGAAGGAACTGTGATGGGGTTGAGCTTTGTGAACTCACATGTGAGACACCCAATGTGCCCAGGTCAGACCTAGCCACGGGAAGTGACCTTGAGGTTCGGTATATGCTTCAGAAGAGGAATTAACAGGCAGATAAGGCTGTGGGCTGGAGGTGGGCTGTAGAGTGGGGGTGGGCTGTGGGGTGAGGAAGTAGTGATGTTGGAACTGGTTTCTGAAGGATGATGTGGGGAAGGCTGAGGATCGTGGAGAACACAGCCCAAGACTTGACACTGAGAACTAGACATCCAGAAAGCACTTGAGTGGTGGGAGCTGAGATGGAAAAGAGGCACAGCTAGACAGCCCTACAAGGTCATGCTAGGGACCTCTACCTGGTTCTTTACACCAATGGAACCAGTCTAGGGAGATCCAAATGGCTTCTGTGTGTCAGCTAAATACCTCTAAGGCCCATAGGAGCCTTTTCCAAACTATAGGACACAATCTATTTGGACTGCAAGATAGACTTGGTAGCCTGCAGCCAGCAATTTTAAAAGGCAGAGCAGGAGGAAGAATAAAATGGAAAATGTCAGAGTTGACTACATATAGAACTAAGTATTAGGTCCAGAAACCCGTTTTACATAAGGAAAGCATACACAAATACTGTGCAATGATATGTGTTATATTTCTCTCCATGGATGATACTTTTAACAACCTCAGAAATTATCTTCAAAGAGCTGATGGGAGGGAGTTGGCCTGGCTGGTGTGGTCATCAGGCCCAAGATGAGACAGGCCCTGGTGAAAGGGTCCAAGAAATGAGGATGAATTCCTGCATGGACCAGTTATAGCGGGTGAAAATGGAGAAGAAAGTTGGACATAGTCATAGGTACTTGGGCCAAGATGACATCTTGTTTGTAGTACCTTATTGGTTATAAATCAGAAGCCTAAGTTGTTTGGGGCTTTGAGAAAGAAGGGGGGGCTCCTTCAGCAGACTAATCTTAGGCTTGTAGGGTCCTGGAGATACAACTCAGGCCTTTCATTCTACTGATTGAAGGTGTTCAAAGAAAACTCAAGCAGAAAGGTGCTGGGATGATGAGGGTGGCTCTCAAAGCTAGGCTGATAACTATCCTACTTCTTCTGCTCTCTTCTAGAAACATCGTGAAGGGCATGAGGGAGCTCCGGGAGATTCTACGGACTGTGGAGACCAAAGCAACGCAGAACTTCAAAGTGGTAATATGGCTGTTGACTGTGGTTGTTTATTCATGGTTCAGTTTGGATGGGAGACAACATAAGCCCTACAGATGGCCTCTAAACTAGAGATGTCACATGCCTATGCCTACCCATCCCTGCTCTCAGCAGACATTATTAATCAATCCCAGGATTCTTTCTCACCAAGCCTGGGAAACACACACCCCCATCTTCCCCATCGGGTGTCCTAGCATTAGATCAGAGTTAAAATCTCCCATCCCCTTGCATGAGCAAAACTGTCCTAATGAAGTGGTATTGTTCATTTTCAAGGATTTCTTTATGATCCTAATAAAAACCATTTACTCTGCTTTTGCACCCCAACTTAGGCCTGTGATCTTAGGCCTTAGTTCTTCCCAAATCAGAACCACATCTAGTGTCACACACTAGAATTTTTAGTTAACTATTAAGTCTCCAGAAGGCATCTGGTAGAGAGCCACCAGTTCCTGCTGCCTCCTGCCTTCTCCTACTTCTGGAAGGGTTCTCAGTGGGCAAGGTCAGGAGGGGAGGAGAGAAAAGATGGGGTAGAGCCATGCAAGGCCAGTGGGAATGGTAGGGAACTTCAATGCCAGAGGGACTGAGAAGTGAGGGGCTCCTTGGAAATGGAGTTGTGGGCTCCCCAGAGTTCCTACACACTGTGCAGCAGACAGATTGACTAGGTGGTGAACTGCAGACCATGCAGGCAAGCTGGAAGAGGGCCTGATATATCCCCAGCCTGAGTTGCTCCCTCTCTGCCAGGTGGCGGCTAGGCACCTGGCAGGGGTCCTGCTGCACTCCCTGAGCGAGGAGTGCTACTGGAGCCCCCTGTCCCACCCTCTGCCTGAGTTCATGAACAAGGAGGAGAATTCTTTCGTCACCCAGACCCTGCGGAAACCTCACCTGTATGAAGGAGACAAGTGAGTGTGCACTTGCCCTGTTGGACAACACTGGTCTCACACTGTTTACTGAGTCTGTGCCCTGCTGGCAGCTCTCCACTGCCTCCTGCACTCTCCCAGCCTCCACCCTGCCCAGTGTCAGGTAGGCGTTTTAGAGACTGGGGAAAGCAGGTCCCAGGTGGGGGTGGGAGAGAGTCCTTTGAGGCTCCTACAAGTCACACGTTATTTGGAGGTTACCCGCCTTCCTGACAGTTGTGGTTGGCACACTCCATTCCTGATGTGCTGGTAGTTGAAGATGGGGTCTGTAGTCAACCAACATGGCTTCTTTCTCCCTCTGCCTCACCTGTGCTTCTGGCAGTTCTGGGGGCTGGGTGGGCCAGTTCTTCCCTAGGACATCTTCAACCTTTTAGATCCAGAGCTCTGGGGCTAGTTAAACAGCTGAACGTGGTATTTGGTGCCTGTGAATTATGCAGGAGAGGGTCACCTTACCAGTCTAGTACTGACTTGGGACATAAGGGCTGCTTGGGGGCCAGAGGTATTGTTGGTATGGCCTGGATTGGAGCTGGGGCTACTGTTGTGTATTCCAGCCTCTACTGCCCAAAGGACAACATAGAGGAGGCTCTTCTGTTGCTGCTCATCAGTGAGTCCATGGTAAGCTCTCGGCGCTGCTGACCCCAGGGGTCGGGGGAGAGGGCTGGAATACAGGGACATTCTGAAGGCCGAAGCTTCTGGGCCCTGCCTCCTCCCTGCCACACCCACCCACCCATACCCACACCCCTCACACCTCCACCCACAGTGCAAGTCTGGCTCATCAGGCTTGAGTTTGGCTCTACCAGCTGTGCCAGACTGTGCTGGGAGACCTGATATCTGTCCTCGGCCCTAGTGGGTAGGAACCAAGTGCACATTAGGTCCCCCTCCCCCACTTTCTGGGATTGCAAAAGATGATTATCACAGGACAGCAAGTCTGTGTTGAGTAGCCCTATGCTGGGTGCTGTGACAGACACAAGAACGGCACATTGGGAGTGGAAGGAGTATGCACTTTGAAGGGCAGGAGGCTCAGATTCGGGCTCCATCTCTGCATTCATCTGAGGGCCAGGGGCAAATCACCCACTCTCCTTGAGCCTCAGATTCCTCCTAAAAGATGACAGTAACTCAGAAGGAAGAGTGGCTGGAATTCACATGTTCTTGCAACAACTACTGATGATCTGCCTTGTACCTGGCCCTGTTCTAGATGCCAGAGATGTGGCAGCAAGCAAAATGGAGAAAAGCCCCTGCCCCCGTGGAGTTCACTTCCATGGGGAGGTGGCAGTAAAGTAATGAATGATTCCAATATCCAGGCTATCTATGTTTGCATGCTATGGAAAAATAAGACATAAGTGAGGACTCATTTCCCATGTCCTGGGCATATGTGAGTGTGTGCATGTGTGCGGTGACCACAGTACCAGGCAGCGTCTTGCTAGTCCCAGAGAGTTTTGGCGCCTCCTTAAAGGAGAATACAGCATCTCTGGGTAGCCCTGGAGATGGTGAGATGAAGGAGAGAATGCTTATTCCAAGGGACATTCAGGAAGGATGGAACAGAGACTAAAGAAGCCAAGTAAGGAGGTGTGTCCACATGGCTGGATCTAAGTCCTCCAACTTTGAAGCCCATTAGAGCTGGTGATCTGGGACTGCCAGATTGAGAAGTGGGGTTAAGAAACCATGACACCCTGAGCTGGGTTCCTTGGCAATCAGAAACAAGTGTTCCTTTGGCTACCTGTATGGGTAGGTAATGCCAAGCTTGTTCAGGGAACTTTAGTGGCTAGGTTGCCTCTGGTTGCACAAGTCGCCTGGCAGGTAGACTGGAGGAGAGATGCTGGACCGCAAGACAGACTATTCTGCCTCAGCCAGCTAGCCCATTTGGGGTTTGAGCATTCCTATGTAAAGGGCATTTGGAACTAGAGTGCCAACTGGCCAGGCATTGCCCTGAAGGGTGTGCTGGTTGCATGCTTGTGAAGTAGGTAAATTGCTCAGTGCAAGGGACACCTACCTGCTTAGCCAGATTTGGAGATGGAAGTACTGAGGGTCAGATCTGTTCACAGGGGAACTGGAAATGGTTCTTTGCCCTGGTCATAGACTGAGCCTCAGTTTTGAATTATAGAGTCCCAACAGATAATACGTACCCCTTCACCCAGCCATTCCCTTACCTATACCCTCAGGTGAGACTATACTGGGCTCACCTGTCTCTGGAAAAGTAGGAACATGTCACCTTTGTGACACTGAGGCATGCAGTGTAATGATGGTGAAAGGCAAAAACAGCTGACTACCTCACATAGGTAAGCATTATGTTCAGTAATGAAATTACCAGTTTTCAGTTGTTTGTTAATTATAAAAACAATAATTTTAGGGCTAGGGATGTACCTCAACTGTCAGAGTGCTTGCTCAGCATGCATAAAGCCCTGGGTTCAAACCTTAGCTTGAAACCTGGCTCATGCCTGTAATCTTAGAACTTGGAGGAAAGTGGAGGCAGGAGTGTCAGGAGGATCAGGAGTTTAGGGTCAGTCTCAGTTAAAAAGAGAGTTCAAGGTCAGTCTGGGTTACATGAAAACCTGTCAAAAAAAAAAAAAAGCAGGAGGAGGAAGAGGAAGAGGAGGAAGAGGAAGAAGATCATCTACAGTTTCATATAGTTCAGATTAATAGTCAAGGTCACACACTAATAAACCTTGTGTTCATGATCTGAACCATATCAGTCTAAGTAGCTTCTATAAACAAAAGACCTGGAGCCCAAGCTCCTGGATTTTAGTCATGGTTCTGTCTCTTGTTAGCAGCTCTGATCCTTGCTTTTCTCATTCTTAAAAGAGCCAATGAGGTAACTTTGATAATAAAATTCATGAAGTCGTTTGTTAACAGGGACATACCATAGTCACTATTGTTTTTCTCCTCAGCAGAGATTGAGGCTGGGCTTTGTTTCCTCTCACCCATCTTGTGATGGTTGGTTTTAATTGTCAATTTGACACAATCTAGAATCACTTGGGAAGGGGAGTCTTAGTGAGGGATTGTCCAGATCAGGTTGGCCTGTGGGAGTGTCTGTGGGGGATTATCTTGATTACACCACCCATTGTGGGTGATACCATTTCCTGGGCAGGGATTTCTGAACTATGTCAGAGTGGAGAAAAACGATCTGAACACTGACAAGTATGTGTGCATTCGTTTCTCTCTGTTGCTGATTATGGACGCAGTGTGAGTAGCTCCCTCAAGCTCCTGCTGCCTTGACTTCCCTGCTATGATGGACTGTAGCCTGCATCTGTCAGCTAAAATAAACCCTTTCTCTCCTCAAGTTGCCTTTGTCAGGTATTTTATCACAGCAACAGAAAGGAAACTAAGACACTCACTGGCCCCAAACCATTTTCTGTGGCTGCTGCTGGATTGGAATGCTCAGGACCAGAGCTCAGATGACTTTCCCTTAAGGCTCACCTTACCAGCCCCCAATACCTTAAGTTGCCCTAAATCTCAATCTCTCTCTCTCTGTCTCTCTCTCTGTCTCTGTCTCTGTCTCTCTCTGTCTCTCTCTGTCTCTCTCTCTCTGTGTGTGTCTCTGTCTCTCTCTCTCTCTGTATCTGGTCTTTTCGAGACAGAGTCTCCCTGTGATTCCCCCATCTGGCCTGTAGACCAGGCTGACCTCAATCTCACAGAGATTTGCCTGCCTCTGCCTTCTGAGATTAAAGGCATACGCCACCACACCCGGCTAGTTGCCCTAAATTTCAAAGAAGAGAATGGCCTGTTATTAGAACATGGCCCACACTTGGAGCCATGTGAATGTTTCTGAATGCATAACTTCCTCCAAGCAACTCTTTCTGTTTTGTTTTGTAGCCTGCTGATCTGCCCACGAGACACAGGGCTCCATGATAGCTGGCCAGACATGGTCCTGGGAAAATTCTTTGCACATTCTGGATAGAGAGGTTGCTCAGATTTGGTTTGCGGGAGGAGGCACCTCCACAGGGTTGACTGATTTGATTCCTCTTGTGCATACTCACCCTGTCAAACATTTAGAAACAAATGATTTGGGGAGGAGAGTTGGCAATAGCCTTGACCTTAGTGTTATAGCTACAGAAGCCCTTTTCCCTATGAAGAAGTCAGTTCTCTCCTTCTATAATACAGATCCCAGGATTAGAACTCAGGTCATCATCCATCATGCTTGGCCATCTCATTGGCCCCTCTAGTTATATTGTTGACTAGCCAAGAGGTGTTGTAAATTGTCTTGGCTCAACCCTAAGGTTCCACTAATCCTTAGCCTGGCTTCCATGCATCTGATGGATTTTCTTCATATCTCTTTGATGCTGGCTAAGTTTGGCTGTAAATGATGAGCCGGGGGGAAACCTCTAGAACAGCAGCTCGCAGCCTTGGCTGTGACTTTGGTGATATTTTTATGCCGCAGTAAAAGCTTTTCCCGTACTGCCAGCCATCACCACTGCCAGCATTATTTCCCACCTCCGGAATGTTTGGAGCAGCCACACAAGCAGAGGGTGCTTGTGGGCTTCCTGAACACCGTAGCCCCTGTTTTGTGGTTTGGAACTCAGGAGAGTAGTTGCATGGGGTCTGGGTGTGTGTCTGGTGCCCAGAATATGGTCTTTCTTATGTCCTGATCTGTGTGATCAGAATGAGAGAGAGAGACTTGTCTTTCAAGAGGTAAATTAAAATTTCAAATATTTTCCCAGAAACATAAGGGATTTGAGATAGCTCAACTTATTGAAGATTTGTGTTAAAAAAGCATTTCGAATACCAGTCACCCACTATTTATCCGTCTACCATTCTACCACCTACTCATCCACACATGCTTTCATCTACCCACCCACCTGTCCATACACTCACCTACCATCAATTCAGCAGTACCATTTATCCATTTAATTTTCTTTGAGCAACTGTAATATACTGGATCATGCTCAGCACTATAGATACAGTTTGAAGTCTTTCTGACTTCAGCAAACTGAATCCTTGTGTCTGTTTTTCCTGGGCTGGGAAAGAATTCACGGCTGTGTAGCCTGTCAGAAATGGAAATGTACAGAGGCCTGGTATGGAATGAATATGGGTGGTTGGGGATGTCTGGAGACTTGGACCCTGCAGCTTAACAAACTAGTTTTGCTCTTTAGACAATGCCGGATGTCTGACTGTTTGGATCTTGATTTGTTGTTTGTAGCTAGATAAGGTTCATCTGTCCATAAACTTGTTTTCGCATCTGTAAATGAAGTTAATAAGGCTTCTATGGCAGTAGTTTGGGTGGATTAAATAGGAAAATGAACACAAAGGATCTCTGGGTTATTCAGTGCAGGTTTTTGTCCTAAAACAACAACAAAAACCCCACTTACAGTGGGACATGGTGGTGCTGTGACACATACCTTTAACCCAGCACTCAGGAGGCAGAGGCAGACAAATCTCTGTGAGATCAAGGTCAGCCTGGTCTACATAGAAAGTTCCAGGCCAGCTGGGGCTACAAGGAGACACTGTCTCAAAAAAAACAGACAGACAAACAAAGATCCACTTTATTCTGACTTAGTCACTTTTGAAAACATGTAGGTTTTGTTAGGTTTTGAGGATATTATTCTGTTGTTTTAAAGAAAAGGGCTTCCTGGGCTTGGTTCCATTTTGGACTCAGAAGATGAGACACACTGTCCTAGCTTTTGGCACCTGGTTTGCTTTAACACAGGACCCTGTTCTGCTGAAGGCTGCCGTGGTAAAGAAGCTGGTAGCACTGCCAGCTCAAAGCCCTTGGTTCAGTAGCGGTAGCAGGAAGACTGTGACATCTGCCACAGGAATCCACTGTGGCAGGGGCGCGGGGGCTGGCGTGGGCCCAGCCGGTGTTACTGGATAGATGAAACTTGTCACAGAGCATGTTATTTCTTGGCTCTGTGAACTAGCAGCTCAAGAGCCAGTAGTAATTATGTCTGCTGGTGGGAGACACCAGCAGGAGCTGAACATGATGGTGTCCTCCAGGGAAGGGGGGCACTGGGCACAGATGCTGCCTAGATGCTTCTTTCCAGAGTGATTATTGGGGTGTCAATAGTGGGCCTTGAGACTCACTCACTTGATGGAGAGGCTGTCTCTATAAAACAGCCTGAACAGGGCTTTGGACATGTTACCTCAAGAGCATGTTCTTTGCAAAGAAAAAGTACCTGCAGCTTCAATGGGGAGACTGAGGCTTTGGTTCTTTCTTCAGCAAAGCCAACCCAGGGCCTCTGATAGTATGGTCAGATCCACTGGACAATTTTCCAGAGGAGTCTGGAGTCAAGAAGGGAGCTAGGGCAAAATCTGAATGTCCGTTTTTGTTTTTTGAGGCTTGGAATTTGCTATGTAGGCCAGGGTGGCTTCAAACTCATAGAGATCTATGCCTGCCTCTGCCTCCTGAGTGCTGGGATTAAAGGTGTGTACCACCCATGCCCAGCTTTATTTTTATTTTAGGTATATGAATGTTTTGCCTCATGTATATATGTGTACCATGTGTGTAATGCCTGAGGAGGCCAGGCTAAGCGTTGCATCCCCTGGACCTGGAGTTATGTGATTGTTAACCACCACATAGGTGCTGTGAATCCAATTCAGGTCCTTTGCCATAGCAGTAAGTGCTCTTAACTGCTGAAGCATTTCCCCAGCCCTCTGAATAGCTAGGTTTTAAGTTGGTTCTCTACCCTCTGTGTATTGGTCAGCTCAGTCAGCCTCCCTCAGTCTTCTTTTCTGTAAAATAGGATGAGAGTATACAAGAGGGCTGTGGGAATGACCAGAGGCCACTTAAAAAGCACTCCCTTTTCCTCCACTTATATGGGAACTGTGTCTAGGTCCAGGATTAGAGAGGAGCAACAGAATTGGGCAGAGGTGAGGGTATGCTGGCTGAGCCCTGCAGCCAGCAGAGATTGGAACTGTCAGGATAATTGGCCTGGAGCTCAGGCAAGCATCAGGGCCTGGACTGGCTATTGCAGCTTCACTTTGGCTCCCTGAGGTACATGCAAGGTCACTCATCTTCAGGGGCTCGGAGCCTTCATCTGGGAAGGTTGTACTTGTTTTATTGCCTGGGTTTGTGGAGTCATTGTGTGGTCAGATTAGCTGATTGTGAGAATTCCCTTCCTGAGGAGGTAATGCAAGGCCCACACCTAGGAATGGCTGGACTGAGATTCCTGTATTTGCCTCAGGGACATTTGTCCAAAGAGCAGTGATGGGTCCTGTTGGGGATGCAGAGCTGTTGGATGATGGTGGAGTGGCGTGGGGGAACTGATCTCCTGGCATCCCTTCCTCTGAAGCTTGGGGCAAAAGCTCTACTCCAGGAGAGGTTGTCTTGGGCGAACCATGAGAGGGACAAAGGTGAGGAACAAGGATGCCTGTGGGAGTTCTGCCTGGGATCCAATGCATGGCTTAAATAAGAAATGAGCATCTGGGGCTGAAGAGATGGCTCAATGGTTAAGAGACTGGTTGTTCTTGCAGAGGACCTGGGTTCGATTCCCAGCACCCTCAGGGCGGCTACCAACCATCTGTAACTCCAGTTTCAGGAGAATCTGATGCCCTCTTCTTAGCTCCATGGACATTGCATGACACAGTGTATCTATATACATGCAGGCAGTGCGCTTATACACATAAAATAAATAATTTTTTTAAAAAAAGAAAGAAAGAAGCATCCTGGGGCTGGAGAGATGACTTAGCACTGGCTGCTTTTGCAGAGGACCTGGATTTGGTTCTCAACACCCACATGATGTAACAACCAACTGACTGTAATTCCAGTTCTAGGGATCTGAAGCCTCTTCTCACACATGGTGCACTTACATGCAGGCAAAACATTCATACACATAAAATAAAAATAAATAAGTCAAGGGGGAAAAAAGAATGCCTTAGAAAAAGAGAGACAAACATCCTTGTAGGAACTTAGGGCTGGGTGTGGGGGGTTATAAGCAGCAAGTGTTTAGGCAGAGTAGGCTGGGAGAAACCAGGGAGATATTCTAACAACCCAAGAACAGTACAGAGGAGGATGGTTAGAAGGTAACTCTGTAGTTGGATATTACTTTACATTGTAAAATGCATTCACATTACTACATTGGATCTGGAAGACTTCCTATTGAAAGCAGGAATCTAAGGCCCTGTACGTGGTGAAGGGGAAAAATGTGGCTGGAACTAATTCTGGGCAGGCTACCTGTGGGCCTGTGTGGCCTAAGGGCTGTGAGCCCAGGCAAGAGGGAATGAGGCACTGCTGGGAGGGACTGTGAGCTTGGATAGTGTCAGTGATGGTGGCCCGGCTTCTGAGGCTTGTGCTGGCTCCTGAGCTACAACATGAATACTTACTCCCTTGTAGCTTACCAGCCAGTCCCTATGACTTCCTTATTTCTGCTCTAGTTTCCCCACCCAACCCTATTACCATGGTTACATAAACAGACATTGCCCAGCTACCAACATTAGCCAAGCTTGCATTTTGTCAAGGCAGCCCTGCCCTCAAAGCCATGGCAATTGCTGGGCAGACTTCTGCTTCTGGCTGTCCTCTGGGAACCATGTTTCCTTCTTGGCATAGGTATTGGTTCACAAAAGCCCTAGGGACCCTAAGAGCATGCCCTTGCTGCTGTTTGCTTGTTGAGGGGCCAGGTTACCTGGAGGTTGTGCCCTACTGTAGTCTTGAGTTTCTCTGACCTAATAACACTGTTTCGAAAATCCAACTCTCCTTCCCACCAGATATAACCAGAGGCCTGTCCTCTTACAGGCCGAGATCTAGGATAGACAGAAGGAGAGTTTCCACACCAACCCAGAATCTTCCTCTTGGACTGTTGCTTTCTCTACAATGGTATATTAGTAAAGTTATGTCCGTGTTTAAGGAGCTCAGTCTAGAAATGGCACACCCTGCTGCAAGAAGTGATGAACCAGCCAAGAGTGCTGGGGCCTGGTATATGCCAGTGAGGCAGGGAGGGCCGTGACCTCTAGAAAAGTGGCTGTCTGAGCTGGTGTATGAGGGACCAGTAGGTTCCAGGTTGACAGAGGAAACTGCAGCATGGACCAACTAGGGCCTGGGAGATAGAGAACAGCAGAGAGTTCCATATGGTTGGCAAGAAATCAGGCAGGTAGGCAGCCAGAGAAGAGTTGAAACTTTATCTTGAGGGCAGAAGTGACAGCTTACTCTCACTATCCCATGAATGTAGTTGATGTGCAGGGTAAATTCCCCAGTCCTTGAATGTGCCTCCCAAAGTTCCCTCTACCTCAAGAGAAGCCTTCAGAACCCTAACACATCCCATCTTGATTTCTTCCTCCCACCAAAATTCTAGATTCCACTAGGCATGTGCAGGTGCATCCTATAGCCCTATCCCTGAATCTCTGTTCACCCTCTCATTCCCTCCCCACTGCTGCTGGAGGGGCCCTTACTCCTACAATCCCCACTGGGTTCCTGGAGCTGATTGCTACTGGAGGAGGAGGAGGGGGAGGCACATTGCTAGGGATGGAGTGCAGGTTGTGTTCCTGCATGGCTCAGGGAAATAGCTCCTGCCAAGCCTCTCCCCAGCATTTCTTCTTTCTCCTGAAGGCTGTGTAGGTGGGATTCACTGGGATGGAGCAGGATTTCTTGGTACTTTCCTTCCTTTAACTCTTTGGAGTCCCTGACCAAGTATACCAGGCTGTCTCCAGTGTTTGGTCTAATTGAAGATTTCTTGGCATCCCTGGGGCTCTCTCCCAGGCATCCTGGGCCTATCTGTGTCCCTGAAGAAGGGACACAGCTCACCATCATGACTTGAAGGGGCAGCTGTCAGGATCCCTGGCTACCAGTGTCTACTTCCCTGCTTGAGATGCCTCCATGGGCATCAGCTCTTTGGGGTTAGGAGGCTTGAGGGCTTCTGGAGGCCTCTAGGAGAATGCAGCCCCATAGCCTACAAGCCATTGGTTTCTGTCTCGCTAGTCACTGACCCTTTGGGAGCCTCAGCCCCTTGCCTGGAAGAGGGAAGGCAGCCTTATACAAAGGGAAGCACTGGGGAGAACTGGTGGCAAACTGGGGTCTCAGAGTTAGCAGCTCCTTTTTGGTCTGTCTGGAAGGCCAGTCCTTGATTGGAACAGCCCATTGGAAGCAGAGGAGGCTCAGATAGGGAGAGTGATGCTGGCCAGAGATGCCCTTGGCAGAAGGAGAGGGGCCAGAAAGGAGGATGCTGAGAGTAGGCAACAGAAGTGTCTGGCCAGAGCTCAGCTTTGCCAAGCAGAGCCCTGGGAGTGTGTGGGAGTCATTTCAGATCCCAGAGTATCCCTGCCCTGTTGCTCTTCAGAGGGCCCTCAAAACTACTGTAGCTGGTCAGCTACTCTTAGATCCTGGAAGAAGAAAAAGCGAACTACAGAGGACAATAATAATAATTTATGTTTTGAATGAAGCTGAAGCACTGCATGTCAACAATTGCATTTGGATGAAGGGCTGTGGTCCTAGCACTGTTCTTGCAAGTTTCAGTAGGTTTGGAATTTTGCAGAATTCCAAAATGGACACCAGGACCTTGAGCCTCCAGATGCTCCTCCACCCACCTGAACCAAGGAGAGGGATTTGTGGGGATGGAGAAGGCTGTTTCTGAGATTATGCTAGTTACCTGATTCTCAGAGGTAGTGAAGAGATGATAGGTTTGTGGGTCCACAGGAACCCAGCTTCCCTTCTGTCCTCACTCTTTCCCAAACCACATTCCACCCACAGGCAACTCGGGACGTGGTGCTGAGCCGGGCGCCAGAGCAGGAGAAGGACCGGAAAGTGAGCTTGCAGAATGCCTCGGCCATCTATGACCTCCTGAGCATCACACTGGGCAGGCGAGGCCAGTACATCATGCTTTCTGAGGTAGGGTCAGCCACATAGTGTTCCCTACTCAATGGGAGTTAGAGGGACTCAGATGAGGCCACTATTTGTCTTCCTTGCTTGTCACTTTTAAAAAAATGTTTTTTTTTTTAATGTGTATGAATATATTTCCTGTATGTAGGTAAGTACACCTGTGTTGTGCAATGCCCACAGAAGTCAGAAGAGGGCGTTGGATCCCCTGGAACTGGAGTTATAGACGGTTGTTAGCTTCCATGTGGGCTCTGGGAATTGAACCAGAGTCCTCTACAAGAGTAGCCAGTGCTCTTAACCACTGAGCCATTTCTCCAGCCCTCTACTTCTCACTTTCTTAGACTGTTCTGCCTTTTACTAGCCCTATGACCTGGCAGATCTTACCAGCCTCACTCACAGATTCATTATCTGTGAAATGGGAGTAATTGGAGATCTTACCTCAGGGTGGTTGGGAGGAATCAGTGAGTTGATACATATAAAAACCTGAGAGCCCTGCCGTGTCCTGTGATAATAAACACTAGCTGTTATTTTTATTGGGTATCTATACTTTAAAGGCATTTTCATAAATCTTACTTCGTTTGCACTTCAAAATGGCCCTGTAAAATCATTCTTGTATTCTGGAGTTGGGAACTGAGGACCAAGAGGGTGAGACATGACACTTATGCAGCATCACACAACATGCCAGTGGCTGGGACTGGGCTACTCCTATGTTTCCAATAGGAACCAAGCTGCCCTATGACTTTCTGAGGGTAACAACATGTGCAGTGGCTACCCTGGAAGGGGAAGGGATGACTGGGCCAAGAGGAGCACTGGTTGGGGAAGTGCTGACCATCTCCTCCTCCCCAGTGCCTAGAGCGAGCCATGAAGTTTGCATTTGAAGAATTTCATCTTTGGTACCAAGTGGCCCTCTCCATGGTGGCTTGTGGGAAGGTAAGACAGGACTGTGGGGATGGGGGTTGCACACTCACCCTCTAGGGAGGTGAAAAGGGAGGGCTCCATATCCATGTGCCAGTGATGGCAAGTGTGTCCACGTGCAGGTGAGTCTGGACGCTTCTCACGGTGTGGCCCACCACAAGAGTATCACATTACTTCTGCTGTTGTGTTGGTATATGTGGTTGCACAAGCCAGGCTGTAGGTAAGGGGAACGCCATTCCTGTCCCGAGTGGGCCTGCCTATGAGTTGGGCCTAGGAAGAAGGGCTGGAAGATAGAGTGGAACAGCAATCACCCTGAGGGAATTTGGAGGGGGAAATATGTGACATATGTGACCAGGGGTACCTGGGTGGGGACAGCAGAAGGGGCCAGCGCTGTCCAGAGCAAGGAGCACCAAAGCAGGCATTTACCCTCCACCTGCCTGACCCTGTGCCAGCACCCCGGATTTTCCCCAAGATAAGAATTACACTTATGTAAGCCTCTATTTTAAGCAGTGACATGAAAGGAAAACCTTTCCGGAGCTGGGGGCTGAGGGAACTGGGGCTAAGGATGCTTTGAATGCGGGAACTAACATGGCATGAGCTTGCAGATGGTTTCAAGAGCTGTAAATACCCAGGGCCCTTTCATGGGGCTGAGGGAATCCCTCGCCCCCTGGCCCATCTGTGCCACGTTCCATTTCTAGACCCACAGCCGTCTCTGAGGAGGGCCCTCCCAGCATGCCAGCTCCGCCTCCATGGATGGAGGGGTGCCAGCCAGCCCTGGGCCTTGGCAGTGAGGCAGGCTAGGGCCTGGCAGAAAGGGGGAAGAAGGCCAGGTGCTGCAGCCTGGCAGGTAGGAGAAGCTGCAGAGCTTAGCCAAGGTCAGTGGGAGCCTCCTCGGACCTCCTCAGCTAGGTATTTGCCTTCCCATCCTCCCTCCACCACAAGGGTCACCTCCCAGAGTATCTTGAAGACACAGGCTCCTTCACCAACTTTGCTCAGCAGGGTGTTGTAAGGGATTAGGGAGAATCTAGAATATAGACAGGGCCAGTCCTCCAGGATTAGAGGAGACCTTCCTAAGGAGCTGGCAGAGTAGGGTAAGTTGCAATTGGAAGAGGAAAGGGAGAGGAGGCAACAGGAGCAAAGGTAGAGGGGCTGGAAGGGTGAGCCACGGGTAGGTGGGGTAGGATTTGAAGGCACCAGCCTACCTAAAGGCAGGCTGGGAGGAGGTGTGGTTGAAGCTTACATGAAGCAGCTTCTTCCTGCCTCTCCCAAAAAGGAATCACCTTTAACTTTGGCATAGCATAGATAACAGAGAGGCCCTAGGCCAGAGCAGTACAACCTTCTGTGGGTTGTGGGTCCCTTGGAGGAATTGAAGAAAGCTACCCCTTCAAGCATTATGCATGGAAGTTAGCTTTTTGAGAAAAAAAAATTATTATTTTTATTTTATGTGTATAAGTGTATTACCTGGATGTATATAAGTGCACCTGTGTTGTATAATGCCCACGGAAGTCAGAAGAGGGCATCAGATCCCCTAGAACTGGAGCTATGGATGGTTGTTAGCTGACATGTGGGTGCTGGAAACCAAACCTGCAAGAACAACCAGTGATCTTAACAGTTGAGCCATTTCTCTATCCCCCTTTTTTGGTTTTTTTGAAACAGGGTCTCTCTGTACCCCCATCTGGTCTGGAACTTGCTATGTAGACCAGACTGGCCTTGAACTCACAGAGATCCTCCTGCCTCTGCCTCCCAAGTTTTGGGATTAAAGGCATGTGCCACCACGCTCAGCAGTTAGCACTAATTTTAAGGGAGTGCCTGAAGACCCCAGACTCAGGGGACCTGAGATGTCTTCCATCTCCTTATGGAGAAGCAGCTGACCCCAAGGTGGTCCAGATAGCTTGGCATCCTTCCAGGTTTCCTAGCCTGCCTCCTTTATGATCCAATAAGGTGGGCATAGGGAGTTGGGGTAGTCAGTGACTTCCTCATGTGTGAGGCTCCCCAGGCTGTACACACTGGAATCCACCCACCCATACACTCAGTGTACTGAAAGATTGTTCTGGAAGGCATTCTCCAACCCTCCTGGGAATGCTGTATGCCAAATCCAACTATCTGCCTGACTATCCTGGCAGCCCTCTTAGGAGTGACAAGATCTTGCGATGGTGAGAGCCCAAGGTGGGAATCCAAACTCTGTACCTTACAGAAGGTGAGGCTAGGCAGATATAAATATGCCTGGTGTTTCACCCTGCAGGAATAACGGATGAGTTCTGTGACATGATTTAGTTCGTTCCCTCTCTTCGTCTCCATGTGGCAACTGCATTGGCTGTGTTGCTAGGTAACCAGCATGACAGGAAAAAAAAAAAAAAAGCCTGCTGCTCCTACTGCTGAGTCCTCAGACGGCTCCTTAAATAGCAGCGTTTTTTGGTCTGTGTGGGGTGGGGTGGGAAAGAGTGGGTGGACTGTGGAGGGTCAGGATGCAGAGGTCAGCAGCCTGGGGAAGCTAAGGAGAAGCCCTAGGCTTGCTAGGGTGTATGGCTGGAGGGGCTGTGATGAGGAACCTAGTGTAGCATTTCCAGGAGACAGTCTCAGGAGGAGGTGGGGCCTGACAGCCCCCTACAACCTCCCTTGCTGCCTCTCACACTGGGCATTCCTATTAGTCTCCTGTTTTCTACAGCCTGTCACTTGCTGGCCCCTTCGTCTGCTTTTCCTAGCATCTTGTTTCCTGAGAACAATAGGAGGTGGTGGCATTTGTCTTCCCCCACAGCCTTTCTGTAATCTCCTTATAGGCCGCCCCCTTCCCAGCCCCACAACTACAGCCCAACCCCAGTACTGAACCCAGTGCAGGCCCTGAATGAAGATACCTGCAATTGGACTCGTCTGTTTCCTGTTACTTATAATGAAATACCTGAGGCTGAAGAATTTATAAAGAAAAGAGGCTCATTTATCTCGTAGTTTTGGAGCTCAAGAACAGGGTGGCAACATTGTCTTGGCTCTGATGAGAGCCTCAAGGTGGATGTCATGACAGAAGTGTGTGCAAGTGGGAGAAATTGTGTGACAAGACAGGAAGTCAGATAGGGGAGGAGCTTGCCTCATTCTTTTTATATCAACCCCTTGCAAGGACTACCCATGAAAATTATATCCATTTCTTTGAGAGCATACCTCCAATGACCTAATCAGGTCCTGCTAGACCCCGTCACTTAAAGATTCCAGCTCCTCAGGGTTACCACTCTGAGGACCAAGCCTCCAGTACATGAACTGTTAGAGGACACACTAAAAATATATCTAAGCTGTAGCTATGAGCCAGAGCCCAAGGAAATCAGTGACACCTGGATTGAAGAAGTGGGGAAGGGTAAGGCAAGCTAGGAATGAGGCTAGGATGTATACCTTCTATCTATACCCTATTTCAGGCAGGTAAGCCTGCCAGGACCCATCTTCCTCAGTAGCACCCCCAGACTTGCTAGGGAAGAAGAGAGCTAAGTTACAGTAGGGCCCAGAACAGAACGTGAGAATTGCCCTAGACACACACATGCACCTAAGGGTCACATATGGAAAAGGGGTGTACACATCAGGAGAGTTACTATTGAGTTTCCTGGGAAACTTGGATTCAGAAAGACCAGAACATTTCAGGCCAGAGAAGGCAGGACACACACACACACACACACACACACACACACACACACACTCTTGGGACACAAGCTTCCTCTCTGGCCAAGGTAGACAACCACAGAAGCCAAATAGGGCACTGGTTGAGAGGTTAGGACCAAGCTATATTCAAACTCTTGCTCAGCTGCTTATGAGCTGTGTGGCTTTTCTCTAAAGAGTCAGGTAATAGTTGTAACTGCAGGCTAGTCTGTCACAACTATTTTACTCCACCCTGTATCATGCAACAGCCACAGACAGTATATAAATGAATAGGCATGACTGAGTTCCAATAAAACTTTATTTATAAAAACAGACACGGGCTGTTTTGGTGGCCCTTGACTTAGAACAATGCCTGGCACACAGTAAGATGTGGAGAAGTATTAAGTATTACCTGCCCTTCTTACCATTATTGGTGACAGCCCTGCCTGGACCTGGATGCCCTTCGCTTTTGACTCTCCCTGCCTACCATCAGCTACTCCTGGCTGAGTCCTAGAGCCCTAAGGAGCCTCCTCAATTTCCTGTCTGGAGGTTCTCTCTGGCCCTCCCAGCTTGACTTCTCACTTTCTTCCCTGCCAATCTTTATATGCCTGCCTAATCCTGGCACCAGTCCTTGTTTCTGAGTACAGGTTCAGAGCCTTTGTCTGCTTCTCAAATCTCTGTGGTTCCAATCCAGAGGAGGGAAACAAGTCCCAATGAAGGACTTGGCTGCTGTGAGCATAACCAGGAATCCTCCTGCTGGGCCCTCTTCCTTGTTCTTGGAAGGAAAGGGGTACAGAGCAAAGACTGTTAGGAGAACTCCCCCTGAGGGTATTGGTTACACCTAGGACTATGGGGAACTAGGGCAGCCAGTTATGGTGTACCCTGCTCTTGCTTCTGCAGTCGGCCTACGCTGTATCGCTGCTACGGGAGTGCATGAAGCTGCAGCCCTCGGACCCCACGGTGCCCCTGATGGCTGCCAAGGTCTGCATTGGGTCCCTGCACTGGGTAAGTGAGCTGTGGGGCTAGGGCAGGCAAGGGCTGGGTCCAGTAACCTCCTAGGGAGAACTGCAGCAAGTGTGCATGAATGGGGGTGCTTGGCATAGAAATAAGGGTGCCGCCTGTGTGTAGGGATGGGCGAAAGGTTTCTGAGGACCTACCAGTCTTGATTTTGATAACAGATCCCTGATCAAGATGCTATCTGGTTTGTGGTTCATCTTTGAAATTTGATCTCCAGAGTCAATCAGATGGAAGACCTCCAAGTTACCTAGATCAGACTATTTGAAAAGAGACTTCAGATGACCTCATATCTAATAGAGGAGGGGAAGGACAAAGCTAGCTCTAGCCCTAGGCAGAACAAAGGTAGTCTCTTTGCAGCCCCTTCCACTCAGCCACAGCCCTCAGTCTCTTGTTCTGGGCTCGCTGCCTGCTCCCCACTCCGCTGGGGCAACTATTAGGAGGCTATTGCTCAAAGAGTACATCTCCTCAGCTAATGCCTTTTATTGGAGGCTTGCGAAGATGCCCCAAAGCTTGAACAGTGAAAGCTCAAGGTCTGGAACCCCAAAACCCAGGTCAGGTCTGCATGGCTGCCACTGCAGGCCTGTCAGGGGCTCAGGCCCAGGGTACTGGTACCCCAGGGAAAAGCTCCTGCACCTATATTTGCTCTAACTCGGAGCTCACTTATAGATCATCTTGGCTTGCTTAGGTCCCAGTCAGCTTCCTGATGTCAGTAAGATTCCATTTTCTATGCTCTGAATGACAGAGCAAGTGCCTCATCCCCCTCACTTGTCGGCTTACACCCCACATATCCTCTCCAGCAGGCTATGTAGCCTCCATTCCTTCCTCTGCATTCTAGGCCCCGGGTGAGCATGCTCTCAGATGTAGGTGGCATGCAGGTGCAGGCAGAGCACAGAGTCCCAGGCTGAGTTCATGTAGCCTTGGATGGTAGGAACTTGACGTGCAGAGGGGCGGGTTCCCCAACCCTCAGCTTAAACCCCTACTTGTTCCAGGGTTTCTGAGAGGGAACCTCGTGCTCATCCCTAAGATGAAGCCCAAAATACCCATGTCTCTGAGAGCAGGGCGGGGGAAGGCATATGTGCTCCCTGAGGCTGCCAGCTCCAAGGAGCTGTGAGTCCACCCAGCCAACGGTGCCCTTGCCAGGAAGCCCTAAATTTAGGTCTTCCCACCATGGAGGAGCTGTTTCCCTCCACAGCATAATTACAGTAATTATGTGCATTCAGATTACATGGTAATAAAATTAGGATCAAATCAGTCCAAATTGAAATCAGATGAGTTAGGAGCAAAGTAATCAATGACAACATAAATAGAAAAGCCCAAAAGGAAGTTAAACATGCAGACTTATCAGAAAAGGGGGGGAAGGGCAAGCTGCTTAACCCAGGCTAAGAACAGTTTGTGTGATGGCCTGGTCAGAGCCGGTGGGTAAATCAGACACAGGTGGGGCTGAGGCCCTGCTGGTGAGTAGGGGCGAGGATGAGGTGCTGGCAGCCTCCCTGATCTGAACGCCTCCCCCAGACCTCTTGAAGCCTGGTTTGTACTTGCACTAGGGTACTTCTCCAGGGCAGGACCATGTCTCCTGAGGCCCCACCCCAGGGTCCAGTGGGTGGTACTGGCGAGTTTCCATGCCTCCACCCTCCAGGAGCCTTGTCTCTTCGCTATGAATTTTGCCTAGCATGGGCCTTGTTCACAATTAGGTGTGGACCTTCTTCACTTCCTCAGCCTTGACTCTGACCCCCTACCCTGCAGGAAAACCTACATCTAGTAGGTGAAGGGGGACATATGCCTCAGCTGGCCACGTGGGACCAGTGGGAGGCATGAATTTGATTCAGGGATTCTCTCTGCCTTCTGTGGCTAGTTCTGGCCTGAGAGCAGGGTGTTGGGCAGACAAGAGCAGCCTGCACTGCACAAAGGTGGAGAGAGGCATCTTAGCACTGTGTCCTTGAGGCCTCAGCCGGAAGGATGGTGGCAAGTTCGGACTGAGCTGTTAGTGCATAAGGCAGGGCCTAGATCTTAAAAGGTGTCTGATACCCCCTCTGTTTCTTGCCTTTGCAGCTCTTTTGGGCTTGTGTCAGCCCAACAGAGGCTGGAACAGAGACGGGAACAGATTGGCCTGGATTGCAGGAAGGGAGATTGAAAACTAGGACATTTGAAACATGAATTGTGCTGGACAGAACCAGCCTGGGTAGCCATGTGCCCTGAGGCAGAGCACCTGCTGTACCTGCACCCTGTCATCATGCCCAGAGCCGGTGGGGATACCCCAGGCTGGGACTGAGACCGGGACTGGGTCTGAGAGGAAGATTGCCTCTTATGGGGGGCTGGTAGAGGGATGTGCATGAACACGTGTTGACTGTTGGCTACCTTTACAGGGAGCTCCTGACTAGAGCAGATTTTGGGTTGGGGAAGCATAATCCTCAGAGTTTAGCCAAAGGCTCCTGGGGTCGGGGAGGACTTCCCAGGACCTGATGACAGTGCTGAAACCAAAGAGGCCGGCATGGCAATCTCCTGCCTTGGTGCAACTGCTACCCTGCCAAGGCCCTGGTTTTTGGAGCGGGTAGAAAAGGAGATGAGATATTTTCTTGTATCCCTCCAAATACAACTATTTAATTAAAAAAGCTAGAACCAGCTGGGTGTGGTGGCACTTGCCTTTAATCCTACCACTTGAGAGGCAGAGGCAGGTGGATCTCTGTGAGTTCCAGGCTAGCCTAGTCTACAAAGTGCATTCCAGTCCAGCCAGAGCTAAGTAGCAAAACCCTGTCTCAAAATCAAAACAAACAAACCACACAAAAAAGCAAGAGTTACCTGAAGCTGCACAGTACAGGTCTGCAACTTGCCCCATCAGAGCTACTACTTAATAATCAACATCTTAATAGACTCTTTGTTAAACACAGGCTTCTCCTAGGTCTCTAAAGCAGCTTTACTCAGAATGTGCTAATTGGTCCATTGTCTCCAGAGATCTTCACCCATTACCTGTTGAGACCATGTTCACATAGGGTATGAAGACCATCCAGCAGGTCTGCAAACGGTTCTGGTTCAGCCCTGGCTGAAACTGTTGAGGTCTGTGCAGACTCTGTTGCTTGATACCCAGGACTGTTTACTCAGGAATATCCAGCATGGAGCAAGGGCTCCAAGCACGGAATCTGGAGCCAAGTGCTCACCTTCAAATCCTGGCTCCACTACTATTACTGTATGGCCTTGGCCAAGTTACAGGACACTT